TCGGGATGACGAAGTGAAGAAGATGTTGGAAAGACTGGGGGGGGGGAAATGCGGGTTTGTGCTGGAAGGAGGGGTGGGGAGGGCAGGGGGAGCAGTAAGGGGGTTGGGATTTGGGAGGGAAGGCGTGAATGAATGGCAGGAAGGGGAAGTGGGAGTGGGAGGGTGGCCAGTGGATGCGTGTGTGTATGTGTATGTTATATATCTTGCCGGGCCTGACGCTGGCCAAAGTTAGAGCTGTTGGCTTATGGTTTTACCAAAATTAAAATTAAACCATAAAATGTACCAACGGACTTTATTCAATAAATTCAATCACTTAGCTTGCTACTAACGTAGGCCGTTCGCCTACGTTATCCTACCTTGCGTTGCAAGATTTGTTTACAATTGTGGCTTGGTTGGGGTAGCTTTGTTCCAATGTTAAGTAACTATAGTAACATAGTTACTAATCAATATTTGTGGCGGTTACACAACTAAATTTAATTTTTTGAGTGCTTGAGCCGTATGCGTTGAAACACGCACGTACGGTTCTGTGTGTGTGTGTGTGTTTAATGATCTGAGCCGTGCTTAGGGATGAGGAAAAAGGTACGGAAAACACACTGGACCTGAAGCTATGCAAAGAAATGTTACGGAAGCCAAAGATAAGCGAAGAGCCCCTTGGTGCTGTGAGGCGGTGCGTCTGGGTGTTGGCGAGGTGGTGCTGGGGCGGGCAACAAGACGAAGGGGCGCGGGTATGCGGCCTAATGAAGGACAGGCAGGCAGGGCCTAGGGGTGGTGCCCCTCATGGGGGCTCCCCACAGCGGCATCGTGGGGCCCTGGGGTGTGTATTGGCATGACACACGGGGTCATAGGCGGGCATGGGGGGCGGCACAACGGCAGGTGGGAAGGGTAGGTGGGATGGGTGGGTGGGTAGTGTGCGTGTGTGTGTGTGTGTGTGTGTGTATGTGTGTGTGTGTGTGTGTTGTATGTGTGTGCGTGGTTGAGTGCGTCGCGTAAGAATATGAGGCATTGTACGTTTGAGTCCGTATGTGCGTCTGTACTTTCTTAGTGTGTACATTCGATTGGGTCTTAGTCAAAGAGTTCGGGTCTTAGTCAAAGAGTCCCAAGCTTCGTCTTGGAAGATGCCCACCATGTTAAGCGCATCTCTTCCAGAATGGCACCCGATGGTGCCCTGGATGTGGATGTGCATGGGCCGGACAAGTTTGGTCTGCTATGGGACGCGACTTGCAAGCAGAACTTCCTTGTGTTTGAGTTTGGTCTGCTATGGGACGCGACTTGCAAGCAGAACTTCCTTGTGTTTGAGTTTTGTTTGCTATGGGACGCGACTTGCAAGCAGAACTTCCTTGTGTTTGAGTTTGGTTTGCTATGGGACGCGACTGCAAGCAGAACTTCCTTGTGT